AAATTTTTGTCTTTGGAAGTAAAACAAATGTTAAGAGAATCGAATCAGTCAGAAGATGAAATGTGTGACACTAAGTGGCAGTTCCAAAATGTTTATAAATCAGCGTTTGATTTTGGGTGTATGAATTTGAAAAAATTTAAAAGCCTATCTTTTCAAGATATGCGTTGTAGTGTTGATTTTTTAACCAAATGAAAAATACTTCTTAATGACGTAAAATTATTTGATCTGTATTGCAATTTAATTAATTATTTGCTGTCACAAGATGCCAAATTTTTCACTGAAAATAATCCCCAAGAGCAATCGAGTAAATTTTTCAACTCTTGCGTTGGGTTAGATGGAATTTCCAAATTATTGAAAATTTTTAAATATAATTTCCCAATTTCCTCACAGAATGCAAATGTTGAAAAAGTGTTTTCCTTAGTTATTGCTCAGCGGACTAAAGAGCAAAATAGACTTTCAGTCCCCTTCGTTAACTCAATATAACTTCAAAAATATGACTCTTGAGAAATTTTATAAATATTTGTTAAATAAAAATGATATTTTATTAAAAATAAGCAGCTCCGAAAAATTTGAAAAAGTCGCACTTTAATGTTTGTATATTTGTGTTAAGTCCTTACAAATGTTTTTATATCTCTACAACTTTGTACAAGTATACCTTAGATTTTATATTAATAAAAATAAAGAAATTTATAAAAACGATTTTTTCGATATTTCCATATATTTAGACAATTTGCATATATTGTATGTATGTTTATACCACACATGTAATCATACATATATTTATGTATGTATATATTTTTAATTAAAAACTTTTTTAATAAAATTTATTGTTTCTCAATGTCCTCCTCTGCAATTCTACCAATAGTACTTAAATGTCCTTCTTTATTGTTTCAATTGTCCTACCAAGCTAAATTTTGATGCGGTAACCCTATTTATATGATAATACTTAATTGATTTGATTTTTCATTTCGGGTCGATTTCTTAATGCCTTAATATGCGTTGTATGTATGTATATCACTTAAATTTGAATGAGACTTGGTTATTTCAAAGTTGATCTGATAAAAAGTGCTTACAAAGAGATTGATAAATCGGCTAAAAAAGGAATTTGTTTTGAAAATGAGCTATTTTGTTAACTTAAACAATTTTATTTCGTCTATAATTCTCACTTATTACAAAAATGTGAGTATTTAATCAGTAAGAACTTTGCTTCGTTTATTTAAATATAAATAAATAAATGTTTTTTTTTTTGTTATTTTTTGCCTTATAACAATTATATTCAACAGTTTTATTGAGACTGTTTTTCCACTTTTCCATATTTTCATTCAGAAACGGCTTCAAGCTCAATAAAACTGTTGAATATAATTGATGTAAGGCTAAAAATAACAAGAAGAAAAAATAACTTAATGACGAGCGCACCTTAAAGATAAACATTCTGAAAATAGAATATTAACCAAAACCATCGAGTCTCAATAGCATCAAATCGCGGCCCTTGATTGTGGTATGGTTGGCGGAATTCAAAAGTGGAAAAAGCAGCAACAGTTTACAAGGCGAAGTTATCTTAATGGGTAAGACCACTGGCTTTGAACGCCGAAGTTACGAGTTCAAATCCCAGTGAACTCGGTGATGAAGTCTGATAAAGAGATGTGGTGATCTCCGAAATAACAGCTATAACTTCTGCTATGTGTAAATTATTGTTGGCTTTTCCACAAAATTTTGAATCATTTTGAAACTGCCTCAAGCTCAATAAATCAGTTGAATATAACTAAATAAGTTATTTTATGTATAATAAAACCCAATGCAATTGTATTTTTATTGAACATTTTTGAAAGTATGCGAATTTAGCAGAAATCCGAAAATAATACAAAGGCATTACACATATTAGCGTGGGCCAAAAATCCGCTTTTTTAGAATTTGAATTGGTAATAGCAAAAATATGATTCATAATGGCAATTTTTGGTCAATATCTTAATCTCGCCCAAGTTCATCAAAGTTCAAGTGCTAAAAAAACTTTGCTAGCTTACTTTGATTCTCTACAAAAAAGGTCCATATACCAAATTAAAAAGATGGCGGCTGTGGTGTAGTGGTAAACAGTGCGCGCTTTCACTCCGCAGCGCCTGGGTTCAAGCCCTGGCCAAAGCAAATATAGAAAAAAGGTTTTTTCTTAACAGCGGTCGCCCCTCTGCAGTCAATGGCAAACCTCCGAGTGTATTTCCGCCATGAAAAACAGCTTCTCATTAAAATACAATCGCCGTTCGGAGTCGGCGTAAAACTGTAGGTGCCTCCTCTTTGTGTGACAACATCAAGGCGCACGCCACAAATCGGAGGAGAAGCTTTTCCAAACACTAACATATGTGTAAGCGCCAAACTATTATTTTTATTATAATACTTTCGAAGATACTTGCAATTTTAGTAAAAAAAAAATGTATTAATTTATGTATTTATTAATTTTTATTTTTTGAGCACATTGAACTTTGATGGACTTGGGCGAGACTAAGATGTTGATCAGGAATTGTCATCTTTCACACAGATTGTTTTTAGAGCATTAAGAACCATATTTTTGCTATTACCAATCAAAATTCTAATAAAGGTGATTTTCGGCCCACGCTAATATACATATATTAAAAATATATGACCTAAACTGTTTAACTAAATTAATTTTTGTTCTTGCTTACTAAAAGTCCTTATTAGTTTTCTCGGATGTTTATTCCAAATATCATCGTTGATCACCACAGGCTTTTTGGGAATCAAAAAGGTCAAAACCGCATAGCCCTAATGTATAGTATGTTATCATGTTTTTATGAATAGCTTAAGAAAACCTAAGAATAGAGAAATAAGAATCAAGAATTGACATATATTGCATAGATAATGTACATTAATATGTTCATATTACTATCGAGGAAGTGAATATGAACTAAAGTATACTATTTCATTTTGTCTTTATAAAATTATATTATTATAGCATGTAGTTCAATGTGTAATAGTGGCTGTTAAGACAATCGGAAATATTGTCTTAGTGACTTGCCTTCTGCAATTCATGTTTGCTGTAATAGGAGTCCAGTTATTTAAGGTATGATTTTGTGAGTTCTTTTGTTACTTTGTTTCCATTTTCTTCTATTCATTATTTTTATTTTTTCGAGTTGGAAGAGATATCCTTTGAAACGCTGCTTAAACAACTAAACGAATTGGCTACAGAATTTATTAACAACTAAACTTAAAACCTTTTAATGCATTTACGCACAGTTTGTGATTTTGAAAGCTTAATTAGAATATGTGACGAATCCCTTGACAGTACATACATGCATTTACATATATGTATGTACATACATATGTATATAAAATCACTAAAAAAAACTTGTCTTGGTCATTTTCCATTGGGGATGAAATCTCAGAGATTATGTATTCGAATTTTATACACACACATACTAAATGTTGAGCGTATCTTTTACTCGCAAAACATAAAATAGGTTTTTCTATAAAAAAAATGCATCACCCTTTAAAAAAGAGCAAAAGAAAAAATTTAAACATAAACCCAGCAAACTAAACTGAGCAAATTTTAAAAAGCGACGATAATTTTAGAATCACGAAAAGAATGTTCATTTATAGAAGGTAACACAATTTATTATAAGTTTTTATGTTCATTGCTTATTTTTTATGTAGTATTTATTTAATAATTTGCTCAAACATATATCAAAAGTTTTTACTTTGTATATATATTGACATAACATAAACCCATGCACTTTATATAGAGTTAAAATTTACTTTTGACTTATGTTATTATTTGATTGCTCTAAATTGTAGCCCAATATCAATATTGAATTCGCATTTTTCAATATTTTCTGACATGAGTTAAACTTTTTGATTAACGAGTTTTTCTTTATTTTTATTGTGTGACATTACTTCTTTATGCATTAAACAAACAAGAGCATCTATTTCAATATGAACGCTATACTAACTTCTTTTTTATAAAGTTTCGTTACACTCAGTATGCTGCTCCTAATCATAATCTAAAACCGAAATCGAAAATTTAAAAGCTTTGAGATTTGGTTATGTTATACATACATATGAGCAAATATGTATGTATATACACTTACGTACATATCGCTCACCTAGATCTAAAGTGAGCTAACTCAAAATTGAGATCTGGATATATAACTGCTGGTGGATCGCACAATTAATACAAAAACAGGTATAACAGTAGTTTTTTTATTAGTGTATATTATCATGAAGAAAATAATATTTGCATTGATTGGAGGTAAGTCCAATGAATTGATTCATGCAAAAAATCGTCCTACATATTTTTTGAGTTGATCGCACTGTACATCTAGGTGTGTGATATATATGTATGTACATATGTATAAATATTAGGTGAAATTCGTTTCGTAATCTCTGCATGGACGTTAGGGTTGCAGTATTTTCCCTTCAGTTGAAGATATCGATGTTCCACCTAAACTCTGCAAGTTTGCATTTTTCATAAATCATTTGTTCCGTTTGGCTGTTAACAAATAACCTCTAGAAAGTAAATTCCTTATGACCAGCTTTTCAGTGCGAGTTCAACTCACTGTGCAGTTTCTCAGTCAAAAAAATGTAGCTTAAACTAGGTTTAAACACCCGATTTAGGGAAGTTAAACTAAACTATCAGCTATTTCCGCCCACGCGTCGACGGAGGAGAAGGACAAAGCATCCAAGGATCTTTTTGTATGAGCGCTTGGAGCGCACATACGAGCGCTGCCACCGTTACGATATAAAAATCGTGCTTAGCGGTTTTAATGCCACGGCCAATCGTCTGATAATGGACTAAGGGTGCTCGAATTCGCCGGGCCGAAAACATGGTAGTATGCAGTACAAAGTTAAAGCATAAAAATATCCATTAGGCATGGCATGGCTGTATCCAGATCGAAAAGAGAAACCGCATCGATCATGTTGTCTTAGACGGAAGGAACGCTTCCAGTGTTTTAGGCGTACATACGCACACTCCGAAGGCCAAACATCGACTCAGGTAACTTTCTTGTTGCTGCCAAGATACGCACGCTCCTCTATGCAGCAAAAAATATGTGCCCAACAACGTAAGGAAAGCTCAACGTCGAAAATCTGCAATCACAGCAGTAGGGTTCATACTTTTTTTTGCGCTCTCTTCCTTTTTACCTTTTTGGAATCTCTTGTTCAAAATATCTTAATCCGATTTTTTAAAGAGTATAATTTATTGAGACTGGACTGCTTACAAAGCTGAACAAGTTTGAATCATGATAAAAATATAGTAAGGTAGAACCGCTGAGAGTCACTTTTAAAATTCTTGAAGTTTCCAAACAATTTAATTTTTAAATTTACTCACAAACTCACACACACATTTTCATTTTCAATCTCAAGCAACAACAATTTCGAACAATTTCATTTTTTTCTTTTCACTTTTATATGATTTTAAAATGTTGGCAAACTTCAAAAAAAAATCATGGCCGACAAATTGAGAGAACGGTTATACCTTGCTCTGTTTTTATCATGGTTTGAATCATGATAAAAATATAGCAAGGTAGAACCGTTCTCTCAATTTGTCGGCCATGATTTTTTTTTTAAGTTTGCCAACATTTTAAAATCATATAAAAGTGAAAAGAAAAAAATGAAATTGTTCGAAATTGTTGTTGCTTGAGATTGAAAATGAAAATGTGTGTGTGAGTTTGTGAGTAAATTTAAAAATTAAATTGTTTGGAAACGTCAAGAATTTTAAAAGTGACTCTCAGCGGTTCTACCTTACTATATTTTTATCATGGTTTGAATGAAGAAAATTTGCGTTTTTGATTTACAGTCAACAAAAATCACATGAAATAAAAAATTCTAAATAAGCACACTTAAAAAACAAAGTGTAATAAAAAGTATGAAACCTACAACAGCAGACGGCCAATGTATTCGCAACTCGACTGTGGGATCGATGTGCGAAGGGCTTAATATGCTGGCCGACAGGAAAAACGCACAAAAATTTTACCATCGCCTGACTATGACGCGGTACGAATAGCAATATCGCGCTTCAAAAACAACCAAGCTGCTGGAGCTGCCAGCCTGCCAGCTGAGCTATTGAAGTATTCAGGCGAGGAATTTATAAGGTGCCTGCATAACCCTTATGCAGAATATGGTCAGATGAAGGCATGTCCGACCACTGGACTTTAATTATTAGCGAGCGTATTGTGTGAATTGGAGTGCAATGGGGTATAGTCATTGCGCTGGGTATGCAGTTACAGTTGCATGGCTATACTCAATCCCGCCTCTTGCGTCCTCGTTCGCGCACTCTGGGCAACGTGAGCAACCCATGTGCGAGATGCAATAACCAATCCGAGTGGAGCCTTGGGTCACTGCAGAAAGAGAGCGAGCTTCGGTGGGGCCACTCTGACTTATTCGGTTTAAGGGCTCACTGAAGTCCGCAGCGTCTGTTCACCAGCAGGTGCGGCTGCAAGCGGGTGTCTGCTTGGAGGAAGCGGCTCGCTATATAAACGTGTATTTGGTTGCGAAACCACCCCCGTCCCAGCAATGGGTTGTGCGCTGGGCTTGGGACCCGCCACGTAAAAACCACTTCCAGTGAAGAAGCAAGGCAAAGCCTCGGATGAGACCCATCCTTATGATGACGACCACGGCAAATGTTTAAAGGACTACGATTTGAGGGCATACACCTGGAATGTCCGGACCCTTAATGGGGAAGGTGCCTCTGAACGGCTGTTTGATGTCCTCGTAAGTACAAAAGCTGACATCACCGCCATCCAAGAAATGCGTTGGACGGGGCAAACAATGTCTGGGGCCTTGGAGGAGTGTCAGGAAGCTGCAGAGAAAAAAGATGCCGCCTACAGGGCCACGCTGCGATCGGGCGCAACGCGTGCTATGTGTGACCGCTATGGGGATCTGAAGAGTGAAGCGAGACGTATTTGCCGCAACAAGAAGAGAGAGGCCGAAATACGTGAGTGCGAAGAGCTTGAAATGCTGGCCGACAGGAGGAATGCCCGAAAATTTTACCAGAGAATTAGGCGACTTACGGAAGGTTTAAAGACCGGGGCGCACTCCTGTAAGAACAATAATGGCGACCTAGTAACTGATGTGCAGAGCGTACTTAAATTATGGAGGGAACACTTTTCCGCCCTACTAAATGGTAGCAGCACGGAAAGTTGTGGAGAAGAAGAACCCGAGCCCGCAGTCGATGATGACGGAGTCGACGTTCCACCGCCTGACTATGACGAGGTACGTATAGCAATAACGCGGCTGAAAAACAACAAAGCCGCTGGAGCTGATAGCCTACGGCGGCGAGGAGTTGATAAGGTGCATGCATCAACTCTTGTGCAGAATATGGTCAGATGAACGCATGCCCGACGACTGGAATTTAAGTGTGCTCTGCCCAATCCACAAGAAAGGTGACCCTGCCATTCGCGCCAACTACCGCGGGATCAGCCTTCTAAGCATAGGTTACAAGGTCTTATAGGTTTATTGTGCGAAAGACTGAAGCCCACAGTCAACGAACTGATTGGACCTTAAACGTTTGGCTTTAGACCTGGCAATTCCACCATAGACCAGGTATTCACAATACGCCAAATCTTGGAAAAGGCCGCGAGAAAAGGATCGACACTCACCACCTATTTGTCGACTTTAAAGCCGCTTTTGACAGCACTAAAAGGAGTTGCCTATACGCCGTTATGTCTGAATTTGGCATCCCCTCAAAACTCATACGGCTGTGTAAAATGACGTTGGGCAATACCACCAGCTCCGTCAGAATTGGAAAAGACCTCTCCGCGCCGTTCGCCACAAAACGGGGTTTCAGACAGGGCGACTCCCTTTTATGTGACTTCTTTAATCTGATGTTGGAGAAGATAATAAGAGCTGCAGAACTGAACCGCTCAGGAACAATTTACTACAAGAGCGTGCAATTGCTGGCTTATGCCGATGACATCGAGATCATCGGTAACAAAAACCGCGAAGTCTGTTCTGCCTTTTCCAAGTTGGATAGGGAAGCAAAGCGCATGGGTCTGGTGGTAAACGAGGACAAGACGAAGTATCTCCTGTCATCAAACAAACAGTCAGCAAATTCGCGCTTTAGCACCC